CGGAACCAGAGGCTGGGGTGTAAGATACTACACAGGGAAAGGAAAGGAGAAACTCAAGCTGGTCGGCTACAGTGATAGTGACATGGTCGGTGACGTTTATGATCGTAAGAGCACTAGCAGAATGATCTACTTCCTCTCAAGCGGTGCGATCTGCTGACAATCAACAAAACAGAAGGTAGTTGCTTTGTCTTCCTGCGAAGCAGAATACATCGCCGCTTCGATGGCAGCAACACAAGGGGTCTGGTTGCGCGACTAATGGAAGAACTCATCGGGAGAGAAAGCGATCCACCTTTGCTATACGTAGACAACAAAGCTACGATCTCCCTAATCAAAAATCCAGTTTTGCACGACCGGAGCAAGCACATAGAACCACCAATGCTATACGTAGACAACAAAGCTACGATCTCCCTAATCAAAAATCCAATTTTGCACGACCGGAGCAAGCACATAGAAATCAGATTCCACTACCTTCGAGAATGTGTAGATCGAGGGCTCATCAAGATTGATTTCATCTGAACAGAGGAACAACTTGGAGACATTTTCACCAAGTCCCTGGCACGAGTAAAATTTGAAGAACTACGCTCAAAGATCGGAGTTCAAATAATAAGGTAGATATAGCACAGCTTTTAGGAGGAGATTGTTAAATAAAAGCTATGTTCCTTATTCAGTTAGGCTGTTTTGACGTCTCAAAACTTCTGAATTCACGCCAATGGAAGAGCTTAATTCTAGCTGCCATTTTTTGGCCAACTTGGGCGAAGTCTTCACCCACTTTCCTATTTTTTTGTAATTAGTTTTTCTATTTTTGTAATTAGATTTGTTATTTAAAGAATTCAACTAAAGAGAAATAAAACATCGAGTCTTCAGCAAATCTCTCTCCCTCTCTCCTTTTACTTCCGCTATTTTTTCTTTCGAAGAAACCTTCGGCCAGTTTGTTCGTCGACATTTTCCTCCGAATTGCCAGAGTCAACAACCACCTACTACATGAACTCACTGATCTTGTTTTTGAAGATGTTTCAAATGTCTTAATGAATAATGAGATGCGAAAAAGAAAAATGGGGCATATTAAGACTCTAGCACAAATGTTCTCACTGCTCGTGGAAGGACTTCTACTTGGAAAAAGAACGAACGTGGAAAGTCCCAATCAAAGTCGAGAGGTAGATCTGATAATTGGAGAAAACTTGATAAAAATGAGTGTGCATATTGTCGACAGAAAGGCCATTGGAAGAAAGATTGTTCGATCTTAAAAGAGAAGGGGTCAAAGTCCAATGTGGTTAGAGATGATGACACTGATACAGATAATGTCTTGACGATCTCTTTATCAGTCAGCCAAATCAGTGAATGGATTCTTGATTCTGGGTGCTTCTATCATATGTGTCCCAATAGAGAGATGTTTTTGGACTTTAAAGAGTTTCAATGGTGGAGTTGTCTATATGAGCAATGATAGTACTTGCAAGATGATGGGAATCGTCTCAGTGCAAATCAAGATGTTTGATGGGGTTATACGAAAACTCAATGATGTGAGGTATGTCCCTGACTTGAAGAAAAATTTGATTTTCCTTGGCGTTTTGGATGCGAGTGGTTATCGCATCATTTTGGAAGGAGGGAATTTGAAGGTAGCTCGTGGAGCTTTGGTGGCAATTAAAGGAACTAGAAGAGGTAGCATATACTACCTCAACCAAACCACAATAATTGGGCATGCTGCTGTGGCAAGTTCGAAAGAACAAGACATATCGAAATTATGGCACATGAGACTTGGGCATGCTGGTGAGAAGGCGCTTCAGACATTGGTGAACCAAGGAGTCTTTAAGGATGAGATCAGACAACGATGGAGAATATACTTATGATCCATTCCTTAAAGTATGCCGAGATGAAGGGATCGTTCGACACCTCACTGTTCCTGATAAGCCACAACAAAATGGAGTTGCTGAGAGAATGAACCAGACATTAATAGAGAAGGTTCGATGCATATTGTCTCAAGCAGAATTGAGTAAGGCATTTTGGGCTGAGGCTCTCGATTATGCAGTTCACTTGGTGAATCGTTTACCTGTTTTTAGAAATGGTGGAAAAACTCCACTTGAGGTATGGTCGGGTACTCCTACTAGTGATTATGATAAATTGCATGTGTTTGGGTGTTCTGCTTATTATCATATGACAGATTCAAAGCTAGATCCTATTGCAAAAAAAGCCAAGTTTATGGGCTTTAGCAAAGGCGTAAAGGGCTATAGGTTATGGTGTCCAGAAACAAGTAAGATTGTTAATAGTTGAGATGTGACATTCGATGAGTCTGGAATGTTTTTATAGAAAATTGAAAATAATGACGAGGCATTGAAGCAGGTGGAGAAGGTGGTGTTCTCTCCTGATATGGTTGCTCCTACTAAAGAACCTATTGATCAGGTAGATAATAACTCTAATGTCTTAGAACAGGAGGAGCAAAGCCTTGTAAATAAAAGAGTGGAGGAACTTGAGTCCATCGCCAGGAATAGACCACGAAGGGAAATTCGAAAACCTGCAAGGTTTGATGATACGATAGCATATGCTTTCTCTTTGATTGATAGAGTTCCCAACAACTACAATGATGCTATCCAGAGCCTGAATAGATTGCACTGGCAAGAGGCTGTGAATTAGGAGATAGCATCATTGGAGATAAATCAAATTTGGGATTTGGTACAACTTCCAAAAAGGTAAGAAGGAAATTGGTTGTAAATGAGTTTTTGCAAAAAAAAAAGAAGATTCTTCTGATATACGTTATAAGGCTCGACTTGTGGCTAAAGGCTATGCACAAAAAGAAGGTATTGATTACAATGAAATTTTCTCACTTGTGGTAAAACATTCTTCCATTAGAATTTTGTTGGCTTTGGTTGCTCAATTTAATCTTGAGCTTGTACAACTCGATGTAAAACTGCTTTTTTGCATGGAAATTTGGAAGAAGAAATATATATGGCGCAACCGGTTGGTTTTTGAGTAGTTGGACAGCAACATTTTGTATGCAGATTGAAGAAATCTTTGTATGGGCCGAAGCAATTTCCTCGCCAATGGTATAAAAAGTTTGATCATTTCATGGTAGAGCATATATATACTCATAGCCAATTTGATCATTGTGTGTATTATCAGTGTCTTGATGATGGATCGTTTATCTATTTGCTCTTATATGTTGATGATATGTTAATTGCTTCAAAGAGACAGGTGGAGATTGATAAGCTCAAAGATTAGCTTTCTAAAACATTTGAAATGAAAGACTTAGGCAATGCAAAGAAAATACTTGGAATGAAGATAGGGCGAGATCGAAAAAAAGATACAGTCTGGTTGACTCAGTCTCAATATCTATGCAAGGTATTCACAAGATTTAGTTTGAATAATTCAACCAAACCCGTTGGTACTCACTTGCTCCTCATTTCAAACGTAGTGCTTCCATGTGTTCAAGTTCTAACGATGACAAAAGGTATATGGAGAATATTCCTTATACAAATGCTGTTGGTGCTTTGATGTATGCTATGGTATGTACTCGACCTGATCTTTCACACGTAGTAAGCATGGTGAGTCGTTATATGCATAATCCTGGTAAAGAGCATTGACAGACTGTCAAATGGATTCTTAGGTACATTCTTGGTACTATTGATGTTGGTATTAAGTTTCAAAAACAAGAAATGTTTAATCTTGACAACCTTGTAGTTGGTTATGTGGATTCTGATTATGTTGGTGATTTGGATAAACGACGATCTACTACGGGTTATTTATTTACTATGGCTGGTGGACCTGTTTGTTGGCGTTCAACATTGCAGTCTACTGTTGCATTATCTACCACTGAAGCAGAGTATATGGCAGTAACGGAAGCTTTTAAAGAAGCTATTTGGATGCATGGTTTGATCAATGACTTGGGTATTTTGCAAGAACATATAAATGTGTTTTGTGATAGCCAGAGTGCTATTTGTTTGTCAAAAAATCAAGTCCATCATGCTTGTACTAAACATATTGATGTCCGTTTTCACTTTATTCGAGAAGTTATTAGTGAAGGGGACATTCGTTTATTAAAAATTGGAACTGCTGATAACCCTACTGATATGTTGACAAAGGTGATCGCTCGTGAAAAGTTCTGGCATTGTTTGAATTTCATCAACGCCGAAAGAAAGGAGTAGTGTGTTGACGTGGTAGCAACCAAATCAGTTATCAACTGGGAGATCTTATGATAAGGTGGAGATTGTTGTAAATTGTCATAAGGTCCTATTCTTTAGGACTGATTAGTCCTATTCTTTGGGACTTTAAGTTTCTTTCTGCTGATATTTTTAGGTTCAACCATGATTGTAAAGGCTATATAATGCCATGCTTAGAATTAATAAAATAGCACTTGAGATTGAGTGAGATATTGGTGAGAGTCTTTGTAATGTGATAGTGAGGTATTCACTTGTAATACTTTGTTTATTAGTAATTGGTTGCTACTCGTGGATGTAGGAGAACTTCTTCTCTCCAAACCACGTAAATATCTTGGTGTCTCTTTGTGTAATTTCGTTCATTGGTGTTGCGAGTACATTTGTTCCGCTTTTGATGCACAACACATTTGACGTAAATTCTCCTCTCTGGTCAATTCTGAGTCCACGTATGGCTGTTTTTGCTTCATTTTCAACAAGATTTTTGAAGTTTTTGAATGTTTCAAAAGCTTCTGATTTATCTGCAAGAAAATAAATTCATGTCTTGCGAGAAAAACCATCTACAAGTACTAGCAGGTACCTTTTACCGCCGTGAGAGGTTGAAGTGATGGTCCACAAAGATCTCCATGAATCAATTCCAGTTTGTTTTATGCTCTCCATTTGCTTTTCTTTGGGAATTTTTGCCATGGTTGCTTCCCAACATTGCAAACTATGCAAACTTTGACAGTTTCCTTTAATTTAGGTAATCCTTCCACCATTTGTTTTTGCTGCATGATTTGAATAGATTTACTATTCAAATGCCCATACCTCTTGTGCCACATAGCCTCCAAGTCTTCATCTTCTATTTTCAAACATTTGTCAACCAATGACTTCATCTTTGCATGAACTGAGAACATGCGATTCGCCATCATTTGTATGTTCATTATCAAGCCCCTTTGTTGATGATAGACTCTGCAGGTTTCTTCTTTGATTAAGATCACCAAGTGCTTCTCCTGTAGCTGCTCTATGCTTAGCAAATTGTTGGTGAGTTTGGAGATAGTAGACATTTGTCACAGTTTGTGTGATACCTTCAACTTCGAATCTGACACTGCCTCTTCCTTCAACTGCCAATTTTGAGCTATTTTCCAACCTGACAGTGTGTTTGAAACTTTCGTCGAGCTCAACGAACCATGTTTTGTCCCCTGTCATATGATTTGAGCACCCGGAATCGAGAAACCAAATGCCTTCTCTTTCAACTTTACTTTTCTTTGTGTACGCCATTAATAGCAGTTCTTCCTCCTCGTCAAATTCAGCATAATTGACAGCTTCTTTTTCTAAGCCCGGACATTCAAATTGGTAATGTCCTTGCTTTCCACATCGAAAACAGTTGATGGCCGACCGGTTCATAAAAGATCTACCTCTTCCCCATCTTCTAGAGTAACCTCTTTCTCTATGAAATGTTCCTCTGCCTCTTCCTTGTCCATACCTTGGTACATTCTCCACCTGCACCTGCTCTTCACTCCTCTTATCAATCACCTTTTGTTCATGTACAAGCAAAGATGTCTGTAATTCATCAACTGTTAATTGGTCAATGTCCTTGGATTCTTCAATTGAGCATACTACGAAGTTGAATTTATCGGTGAGACTTCGAAGTATTTTCTCAATAATTTTGACATCCAGCATATCTTCTCCGCAATTCCTCATGTCATTAGCAGTAGACATAACTCTTGCAAAATACTCAAAAACACCTTCTCCTTCTTTCATCTCTAAAGTTTCGAATGTTCTGCGAAGTCATTATAGCTAGGCTTGCTTCACTCTAGCATTTCCTTGATACTTGAGTTTTTTTGAATCCCACAATTGCTTGGAAGTATCCTTTTGAATGATAGTTTTCAGAATACTCTTATCAATGGATTGAAACAAATATTCTTTGCTTTAAGAGCTTTGAGCCTTGCTTCACCGATTTCCTTTTGCTGGGCTGCGCTTAGTGATTCGTTTCCTTTTGGTTCCTCGAAACTAGATTAAATAGCACTCCAATATTCCTTGGAACGCAAGAGATTTTCCATGACCAAACTCCAATGCTCATAGTCTCCATCGAATTTAGGAACACATGGTGTAGCGAAGCTTCCTAAATCACTTGCCATTTGTTCAGTGTTTTTCCTCTCAAACACTATTTTTTCTTTCAAAGTCCAATTAAGCTCTATACCATATAGAGGGAATTGATTGATTTTTATTGAAGGATAACTACGCCTTAGCCTTACAAAACAGAATAATAAGGCAACCGAATCAGAAAAACAAATCAACTCTATTTGAAAAACAAACCGACCTAATCAAAAAACAAATAACTCCTACAAATTCACTATTTGAAAACAAATATAAAACTACCTATTAATAGACAAATATGAAACTACGCCTATCAATAGACAAATAGAAAAAATACTCGGTGTTAATTAGCTATATCCTTGCAAACCAAGTCAGAAACTCGAACAGATCCTTCCTTCTCATGAGGGTCACTCCCTCCGAGGCATGACATTATGGTCCTACTTTAGAATTACCATTTATCCCTTAGTAGGTAAGCATCCGATCAGAACTATACGACATAGAGGGTATTCGATTGAGCTCCTATGATCTAATAAGAGGAAATCAATTGAGGTCCCATGATCGAAAAAAACTATTGCCATCGTGGGTGTTCATGTTGGGCCACTTTTGACCCAATTCCAATGGGCTAACATACCACAGTGGTGAGTAGCAGCTACCTTCCACGACTTACAAATCCCTGTAATAAGAAGCATCATAAGTAAAATAAGGGAAGAACCGACCAAATCACCTAAATTCTTTTGATTTTCTGAACTAAACTCAAATTGAAATATCTCCATTTTTTAATTTAGAAAGCTTGAGAACCATGAATTTATAATTTATTTATTTATTTATTTTTGTATTTTTCTTTATGTAGATTTTAATATTGAAAAGGACAATACTACATAAGGATATATAGTAAATAAATGATTGTTTTTATTTGTTGGAAAATTAATGGAGGAGAAACCTAAAACGCAGAAATGAATAAATGTTGGGAAATAAAAATGAAAATAAAAACCGACAAAAAAGATGAGGGCTGAGGTGGATATCAGATACTTCAATTCTGGAACAACCCGTTGGTGACGTGTCATAGAACATGGCCTCAGCTGTCGTGTTCATGGTCGTGGGTATGGGTGAGAGAAATGAAAATAAATGAAAAAAAAAAGAAGCGAAGAAGGACACGAATGTTGAGAGAACGAAAGGACAAGTACCATATGGCGACGGTTCTCCGCGTAGGAGGACACGTGGCAGACATGCCACTTTTGTTCCTCCCATGCTTATCCATATTGCACTCCCAACTCCAGCTCAAATGCGGCACCTCGATAACGTTTTTCTATCTCTTTCTCTTTCTTACTTTCTCTCCCATTCAATTATTTCTTCCTCTTTTTCCTCATCTAATTTTGTCCATAACTTTTTTTCATTTCTTCCTTTTCCTTTCCCACTTTAAAATTTGTTTTAAATTTATCTTCTTTTTTTTTTATCATAGTTCAACTTAGAAAGGGATTGTCGGGTTGTACTTAAGTGTCGGTGTTGCACTAAGTGTCGGTGCCTATTGACAGAGATTCACGGTAGACAATCAATCAGATCTAACGTTTAAACCAAATCTTAGAAGACATGTTGTGTGTTGTACGTTAAATTTGGCAGATAGTTGAGATTTTCATTTACAATTTTATGAAAAACTATTGAGTCTAAAGTTGATTCTACCTACGAATAAGGTCGTGCGAACAATCAAAACACGCATGCGTACAACTCAAAGTAAATAGAAGAGCTAAGCCGATGTATGACCTAGAGACTTGAAGTTTGAGGTGGGTGATAATGTATTCTTGAAGATAGCTCTTATAAATAGTGTTCCAGAGGTTTCACCGTATAGAAAAGCTAAGTCCATGCTCCATCAGCTATATAGATATTGAAATGGATTGGATTGGTAGCATACTAATTAGTGTCGAGAAGAAAGCAAAACTAACCACTTCATTATAGACATGGAGTTACATTTTTATGTACTATAATAAGTTGTGAGTATGAATCCTCTACATTAAATCTAGAGTTCCACTCTTTTGCATTGTAAGATAAGTTGTGAACATGGATATAACCATTACATCCAAGTCGGTCTTTCATAGATTGTCTATAATCATAGCTAGGTCAGAAATTCGTTTTACCCTTACAATTACATCTTTCACCTTAAGTGCCACATATTCTCTAGTGAGCAATTTGTCTATGACCCAACCATAACTAAATTTCTCTCGGGCCAATGAGAGGGTGGAACTTCATTGTTCAAGTTCCGAAATAAACACATAAAGGAACTACTCATGTACATTTCTTATATGAGATGAGTAAATTACATTTCGTGAAATTATATTCTCAGCTTCCTGTTTGGTCAAGTCCAAATTTTTTTTGACAAATTAATTGGTTACAAAGATCATTCTCATCCATGCAAATCAAATGACAAACCCTTATAGGCAGACGTTCTTAATCCTTTTAACGGAGTTATAAAGAGAGATTTGAATATTATATTGTCAAGTTTTATATAAAGTTACTGTACAAGATACCTCTACTATTTGTAACAATTACAAAATAGGTGACAACAATAGTGTTAGCAAGACAAGTTGCTCAATCTTATCCATATACTATAAACTATTTAGCTTATTATTCGGATATGATCATTTTATATGTCAACCACATACTATTCAAGATTACACATTTTTTATACCATAGATAATATAAAATTGTAAATAAAATAATCAAAACTATTATTTTAAATTAAATAATTAATTACGAGAGTTTAGAACATAAATTCCAATAATTTTCACTGCCCTAACTCTTTAAAAAGTTCATAATATGTTTCATGTGTTCATACTATGTAAGTATATCCAAAACCTACTCATGTGATCAATTTTGAGTCTCTATAACTAAATGAGAGCTTAAATTATGTGAACCGTCCGATTAAAAATCTAACAAGGGAAGTAAAGGCGTTGCATTGTCGAGATATTTTTCTAGTCTAAATTATTTAGCACAATCATCATCGAGAGGGGGCAACATAGGAGCAAGAGGATGAGATGATGAGTAAATACCGTGATCAAATAAAGAAAACTTTCAAGGATGAAAGTTCTTTAAGAAGAGTATACTATACAACCTAGAGAGAGGAAAAAAAAAAAAAAAGCAACCGAGTCAGGTTTGACCCATTCTTTGACATGCTAGTAGAACTTTCGAAATCTTGAGCCAGTCACTAGAAATTTGATGAACACAATTGTCCCACACTCAGTTTAAATATTATCTTTGCCCAAATATTGTGAAATAAAAGTAGCACGTGGATTGAGTATCTTAAGAAATACTCGGTAAGTAACCAGATTATTAAGGTTAGGAAATGCTATCATATGCAATCATGTTTGGGACCTATTCTTTCATCATCATGTTCTTGGTCTCATTTTCTAGTCTAGACCGTATTGGATGTGTAGTACTCATCTATACACGACCACACATGGACCCTCAAGCAGGCTCATATCTGTACACCCTAGACCTTACCTTCAACTATACTACACTCACGCTGTTGGAAAAGCCTAGAGGGAAGGAGGGCGCATAATGTCATGGTGTACATAATATCATAATATACGTTGTACTAATAATAACGGGGAAGTATCCCGATGCACGTGACAAACAAAATGCATGAGATCCCTATCATTTTAAATCATGATATATACTTATGATGCAGGTCATGTCTCTGTTCTTTCATAACATAACTTTTATGAATACCTGCATGGCTTAACAATATTTCATAATCTTCAGGTAAACATGCTAATATAGCGTGCATGAAATATCATGTAGAGGTATTATGCATCACTAAGTATGGGGTCATAACAAGATCCATAACCTAACAAAAGCCTCTCATAACCTAACTTAAAATGTAATATAACATAAGTTATATAGCATAACGTAACATAATACATATCAAACAATCATAAAATACGACACATGGAGGGCTATAAAGCACGTGAGGTTCATACTTTATTCAATTTATCCAACCAAGCCAACAGTAAAGTCTCTATCTGGTTGGTCTAAGTTGAAGTCACTGCACTCCCTTGATCACTCCCTTGATGCTAACTTAAGGGTGCTCCTTTAAATCTAACAAGTAGTCTCACAATCATAACTTATAATTCTATTATGAAAATTGGCTCATCTAACTTACATAAAATAATCTAAACTTAGCTTTATATAATTTAAATGAGCTAAAAAGTAATCATAGACCAAATTAATAAAAAAGTATTCCTACTAATCTCAAACACTTTTGAAAGTGTAAAAAACGCCTCCTAAAGAGTTGAAAATAGGAAAGGGTTTGAGCATATTAGACCTAAGTTGGATGAGCCGAAAAGCTGAGTTAGAGCCATCAGAAAATGTGTTCTCCGACTGGTTCCGAATCACCTAAGTGGGATGAAACAGAACAATTGTTGTAACTTAAGAAGCCAAATGATCTTCTTATTATATTAGAGTCTAAGTCCCCACTTTCTCAACCTAACCGACATGAGACAACCTTTCTTATTTTTATTTATGCGTGCATGAGAATCACATTAGACTGTACGTTATAGCCTACGAAGCGACTATCTATCTTGCAAATCTTACTTGTGACAAATGCTCATAGGTCACTCAATTTTGCAACATTGTACTATTATAACGAAGGCAAATTGGATCGAATCGAGACT